TGCCTTTTTCGACGAGCAAGATCGTTCTTTTTCGACATTCTTCTCGCGCAGCTCTGAATTGCCGGGAACCCCTCTGGTTTTGGCTTTCACTTTCCTTCTTCAAAATCTTCCGAGAAAATTGACTAAAACCCTAAACCTAGTCAGATGTTCAAGAGAGAGAAAATATTAAAATAATTTCTTAACTATATTTTTTCAGTTTTCCAAATAATATTTACCGGGCTTTCTTCTTCGGCCCAAATATCATAAAGCTTCTTGGGCTATGAAAAATTGATTTTTATGGGCCGTGAGTGATTTAAAACGAAATAAAAAGCAATAAGATAAGGAAAATTACCAAGCTTTTCATAGCTTCGGATTCCTGGGTCAGTTAGGAAACTTTTGCTTACTGGGTTCTGGGTTTTGGAATCTGGGTCCTGCTCGAGTTGGCTCAGGTACAGGTACTTCCTTCTTCACCTTCAAAGTCTCGGCCTTGCAGATACTCTGATATCCGAAGGGAAGATTATCAAACCGGGGACACAGAAATCAACCCATTAATCAGGTACCTAAGGAGAACAAATCAACTTTCGTTCTCTGGAAATTTACGGTCTGGTTCTAGTTATTGCTGAGATAATTTTCGATTTTCCTATTTGGGGTTCTATTGATTGTATTGAAATGTGCCTCTAATGTCATTCCCTCATCTGGGTCCTATCGAATTCTGTCGAGTTCTATGATTATTCAAGGGGTATATTTGGTTTTCAGGCTATGATCTTTTGGGATGCTCAGAAAGATAGGTGGCAATTGGAAATTAGGTTTAAAACTGAGAACTTTGAGTTGTTTTCTATCTGGGTTATGAGTTTCAGGATTTTCTGCTTAGTTTTGCCTAAAAAAGAATTACAGTATCACTTAGTTGGGTTGATTTACGAGGATTGCATACTCTTAAGATTACAATCAAGGCGTTAATGCTCTTGTAATGGCACTTGCATTTGTCTGGAACCTTCAAAATCTTTGGCCCTTTTCGATACTCAAATCCGATGACCTGAAAGTATCTAATGAATTAGTACGCAAACTACCAATACCTGAACACACGAAACAGTTTGTTTACGCCGTTCGGGAGCCTGAAACTCAGTCTGTAATTTACATACTTTCTGCTCAAAGTTTATCAGAGGGGTCAGCATTGGATGCTGATCGTCTTATTAGGGAGGTTAGACCTGATGCTGTTATTTCCCAGGTGGGTCTTTCAACTGTGACTGAAATTCAATCTGAAGAGACTGTATTAAGAGATGGTTTTGACAACTCAGTTCCCACTTCGTCATTTAAAGTTCTCAAAAGATGTTTTCTGGAGAAGGTTAATAAGGAGAAGTATGAGGATATTGCAGGAAACTTGGTTTTACAAGAGATCTTTGGGGTTGGTTTTCATGGACACTTTTTGGTAGCCAAAAAAGTGGCTCAGGAGGTTGGGTCTTCATTCTTGGTGCTTGAATTGCCATTTGTAAAATGTTCTGGTGGGGAGAATGCCTCAGGTGAACATGAAGCAGTGAGCAAGTTCCAAGGTTTAGCTAGTAGTTTGGTTCCACAGAAAGTTGGTTCAGTTGCTTCTGTAAGTCCGTCGAGGTTTTGCATAACCAATGATGTTCATTCACAGATGGTTAAGTTATTATCTCCACATATTGATTTATCAATATCAAGGCTAAGTCCATCGACTTCTGTTTCTGAGGTGGGGGCAAAAGAAATTCAGCTGCAATCCAGTTATGAGGCCCCACAATTTGCTCAATCAATTTATCCATTTCTTGTGGATCTGCATAATATTTTTGCTGATATCCCATCAATGGGAAAGGCTCTAGCTTGTGCACAAAGGATGTTTTATGATGTGAAAAGAGGTGAAGCTGTAGATACCAAAGTTATATCTGAAGTCTATGCCTTCCGGATTGCAGTTGAGGGGCTAAGAATCTCTATGAACAATGCTGGTCGGCTTCCCATTAATAAAATAAGGAATCCGAACTTAAATAAGATTGATTTTTCTGAGCTTCCAGTTGAGGACAAGTCATATGCTCTCTTTGTTCAGGCCCTTCGCAGCCAGACTAAGAAGTTCAAGACTATAGTGGCAGTAGTGGATGCTAGTGGCTTGGCAGGTCTAAGAAAACACTGGAACACCCCTATTCCTCTGGAGGTCAAGGATTTGGTTGGACAGCTTGTTACTAATTGTGAAGGCGAAGGGGAGATGTCAAACGATACTGATAGGAAGCGGCTAATAACTAATAAACCTTTGGTGGCAGTAGGGGCAGGGGCAACAGCAGTTTTAGGAGCCTCTTCGTTCTCTAAGGCTGTGACACTCAAAGTTCCTGCTTCAACCTTTATGAAAGTTTTGACACTCAAAGTTCCTGCTTCACTTAAACTCTTTCTAAGCCAAACCCATAAGACAGTGGGACTTGCCCTTAGTAAGACCCTTGGCCCATCAAAACTGGTAGCTCCAGGTTTTATGAGTTCTGGAGTAAAATCAACATCTATATTGAAAGCAACTGCTTCTGCTGAGAAGATCCGAGCAGCTACCCATAGTGTTATAGCTGCTGCTGAGAAGACTAGCTTTTCAGCCATGAGAACTGCATTCTATCAAATAATGAGGAAACGGCAGCTCCAGAAAATCGGTGTCCTACCATGGGCTACATTTGGGTGTAGTATGGCAACTTGTGCCGGGTTGGTTGCATATGGAGATGGGATTGAATGTGCTGCTGAATCTCTACCTGCAGCTCCATCAATTGCCAGTTTGGGTCGTGGGATTCAAAATTTACACCTGGCATCTCAGGAAGTGGCACAGAGAGATAGCACCAGATTACAAAAATCGATTGAATACCTCATGTACAGGTTTAAGAAAGTCAGAACTCAGTAGTGAGAATGCAATTCTTATCTTATTTGCATAATAGTGGATGTTCTATACAAAGTGGTTGATGGCGAAAAGATGGACTTCATGTAAAAGAAAGAAAAGAGTGTCGAGAGCAGGGGTTCTTCATATCATCATTTTTAGTTTTTTCTGCTTCTGTTTTGGGACTCTTCTAGAAATAGAAACAAATTTTGCAGAAACTTTTCCTTGCTTATTGTAAATATTCAGAGTTCTTTTGAGTGCAGTTAGATGAAAAGTGAAAGAAAATGAATATATTCATATATGAACGAACAAAGATTTGTAGCTATATAGGTTTGAGCAAGGTTGAATTTTGTCATATGCTTCTACAACAAATTGGCTCTCTTTTTTCTCCAATACAGGCAGCTTGAATTTTGTCTATGGGCTTGTAACAGTGGGACATACTATGGGGCACTTTCTTTGTTATTTTTGTTTTTGTTTTTAATTTTAAGAGCGTTTGGTTTTTTAACTTAACTATTATTTTGAGACATAAAATCTTAATTTAGAAAGTTGAATTATATATATCTTTTACCTGGATAAAAATGTCTGATTAGATTTTTATTTCCTATCTCACTTTTTTCAATGCTCCCAAAACCTAGCACTCACTTCTCTTTCACACCCTTGGTAACCCATATGTGTTATATTTCTAATTATAGGTTAATTGGTGAAGGTGGTGTGCCCGTCCCCTAACACTTTAGTTGGTGTGCCTGTTTTCTTACACTCGAGTTCGACCTCCCTCTTCGTCTATTAGAGTAGTTTAGAATATATTTTTTAAAACCTATATAAAAATTTCACTCTGATGTTGATTGGGCTCTCAAAGAGGCCGACATGGATCCTAATTAAATCGTCAGAAATTTGTCAATCAAGGTGACTTCACTCTTCCTTTGACTTTGTTAATGGCTGCTTCTCTTTGTTTTTAGGGCTTTTTGCTCTGCTTTGTCTGATTTTTGTTAGGCAACCAGGTGCTGAGGGTGTTCAGTGTTCCAATTTTTCATACTAGATAATTTGTCCATGTGCTTCAAATATCTGTTGTGCCAGTTTGGTTTCAAAAAACAAAAAACAAAAAACAAAAAAAAAAAAAAAATCTACAAAATAAAACATTTGATTGATGAATTCTCTTTGCACATGTCATAACATAATTGAACGACATATTACATATTTCTCACTTTATCTGTAACAACATATTTCTCACGTTTATAATATGGTACTACTAAATATTCATTTATATTATAACACATCACGTTAGTCTAGTAACTCCAATACTAACTCCAAAAGTGATATGAAGCTGAAAATTTCATTAAAATATTGCCTTTTGAATTGTAAAAGAACATTTTGTATTAACCTCTGTTTATTATTATTTTTTGAGAGTTTCACTAAAACACCCAAAATGGGGGCTGAAATTATAAAAAAAACCCAATACCCAAAACACTTTATAAACACACCCAAAACCCATCGTTACACACACTCAAAACCTATTTATAAACACACCCAAAAAATATACAATTGTTGATTTTGGGGTTAATTTTGGGTGTATTTCTATGTTTAAATAATGCTTGGATTTTTTTATAAATACATGTCTAGGATTGAGTTTATTTATAAATTTGTATTATTTTTTTCTATAGCAATACAATTTTAATGTAGTTTGTGTGCCATAAAAACCACGGAGTACCCTTTATAAATTCTATATCCAAACGGCGCCGTAAAGCTGATCTTCAACAACAATTATTAAAGCAGGCGAAAGAGAAATGATTATGGCGGGAGCGATGGGGCAGAAGAATGATGAAAAGTCTTCGACTTGTGTTGGCCGTTGGCCCCATTCAATACCACACAACAACAATTCAATTCAATCTCTCCACCAACAAAATCCAAAGACCATTGGCGGTGGAATTTAAAAAAATTCAAAGCAAATAATAAGACCCAGCTAATCAAAAATAACAGAGGAAGAAAATTAAGCTGGTCTAATTCTTCACAATTAAATTAATCAAAGAATGATTTTTATTGTTTCTTAATTGAATATCCTTTGACTCATGATATGGTTTGAATAGATTAATGATAGATTTGTTTGTTTATTACAATTATATAAAAAACAAAAACAAATACTATTGCAAACACCGAGCTTTTTTATTCCCTCTTCTTATATTCTACACGGATCTTGAGCTGTTTCAGACTCACTTTTTTTTTTTCCTCTTCTTTTCTGGATTGGGGTTTTGTTTAATCGTTTATTTCTTTGCTTTGAGGCAAAAGCTTGGATCTTTCAAGGGTTCTGCTTTGATCGAGAAAGGGAATATTTGATTGGCTGAAAGAGACCCAGAAGAGGGTCTTAAACATTGGGGAAGAAGCTTAAAGGTTTTAGAGCTTTTTGGGGTCAACTGGGAAGCCTTTTGCTTACTGGGTTTTTGGTGTTTAGTAGCTTTCTGGATCAGCTGGGAAGCTTTTGCCCACTGGGTTTTGGGTTTTGGGTTTTAGTATCTGGGTCCTGCTGTGTTTTTTTTTCCTCTGATTTCAGCGTCGCCAAATTGATTCAGGTACTGAACGAACTTTTAAAGCTGCAGTTAAGTTGCTATTAACATGTCATTCTCATTTCATTTGGCTTTGAGCATTTATTGTTCATTAAATTATGAATTAGTACTATTTGGTAGGATAGATAGAAAATGCTAATGGCCAACGCAATCATAATGTTTTCTGATAAGAATGAAAGGAAAAGGAAAATAAAAGTAATCTAAATTAGTTTGTAGCATTCAGTTCGGGTTGGTTTACTGCCTAACAGTGAACAGAATTTTTAACCAAGAAATTGTGTATGTAGTCCAAACAAATATCTGCTAGTACCTGTTCTCTCCCTCTCTACTTTTCGTGCTACTTGAGTTTGCTCGAGTTTCTGCTTTCATCACATTTCTAATTCAATGTTCCTACAAAATTAATGAATCAGGTATTTCTGTTCGGACCAATTTAGCTTCATTGGAGCATTTGTCCCACTTGAAAAGCAGTAAAGTTGATCTAGTTAGCATGAAGCCAGATGAACCTGAATTTACGTGATCTTCATTTTGTTTAGAGACACAGTTTCACAAGGGATAGTTTAAGTTGATACTGTGACACTGACATGGGGTGTCAATGCTCCAAACTCATACCATGTTGCTGGAATTCACAATTCAAGGCAGCGGTTCTTGAAGCTCCTGACATTGGTGGGTTAATTATATGTCCTTTTTTGTGTGTGTGGTGTTTTGTTTTAATGGAGAAGCGGATCATATCTGATGCTTGTGGATTGTTGCCCTTATTGCAGATAATGAGGAGAAGAGCGATGTTGATTACTTGCCTACATTTTGTGAATTCACATTTGAGCAACTTAAAAATGCGACATCTGGTTTTGCAGTGGAGTACATTGTGTCTGAGCATGGAGAGAAGGCTCCAAATGTTGTTTATAAAGGGAAACTGGAAAATCAGAGGAGAATTGCTGTTAAGCGCTTCAATAGGATGGCCTGGCCTGATGCTCGGCAGTTTTTGGTAGACAGCTTTTAACTTGATTTCTTTTTCTTCTATGGTTTCTCGAATTACTTTCATCCAAACCATTAACATGGTATTTTTCTATTTCATAAAACTCTTAGTCAGCACATAGGCGACCAGAATTGGTGTATGTTGTCTGCACAACTATTGTTTTTATCTTTATGTTCTAAACCGATGTAATTTTCTGTTGAGATAATATGGGTTGAAATTTGGGTCGTAGACTACGTTTGGCAGATAATATTCACAAAATGCAGTGCTGTATTTCTCTGACTGTGAAGTCCATTTCTTTTGGGCCATATTTATTACCTCATCATATTGTTTTATCAGCTCCATTGAAAGAAGGCATTTTCTGTCTTCTCTATTCTATGACCACATTTGTGAGACGATTTGATTTTCCAAAACTGCAGGAGGAAGCAAGATTGGTTGGTCAGCTCCGCAACCAGAGATTGGTCAATTTGCTTGGTTGCTGTTGTGAAGGTGATGAGAGGTTGCTTGTGGCCGAATACATGCCCAATGAAACACTTGCGAAACATCTTTTTCATTGTAAGGTTTAGTTCTTAAGTTTATATGAGGCTTACTCTTCTAACTTGCACTCATTTTTTCAATTAGTGGATACCTGATCCATTTGGTCCTGCAATTGCCTCTGGATGATAGTTCCATTTGTCTTACTCATGACTTACCATGGACTTCATTTGGAATGGGACATAATAAGATATTAGGCATCATATTTATTTTAGTAATGATGACCACATATTACATTAGAAATTCAAAATATAATTGTCTCGCTTAATTTCTCACATTTCCACCCTGAATTTTGTAGTACCGAATGCTACTTGAGAGTTTATATTGGTGTTGGTATGAGTATCTACAATGATACAATGGTTGCTAGTGTGACCTTTTTTATTGGTGGTTTTTCATTCTAGGTTTTTACCCCCTCCCTGTCTGGCATTAGAATATATATATATATATATATATATATTTTTATACTATTAGACAGAAGCTAAGGAAAAATACCCTATGTGGTCTTGTTTCAGTTATAGTATCTTTTCTTATTTTGCTAAATTATCTACTTAATTGCATGGATGCATCACCTGTTGAGTACTGTGCTAATGTTCTGTGGAGATTAACTTTATTGCTTTATTGAATCAGGGGAAACACAGCCTATGAAATGGGCAATGCGATTGAGGGTTGTTTTACATCTCGCACAGGCTCTAGAGTACTGCACAAGCAAAGGGCGTGCCCTTTATCATGACCTTAATGCTTACAGAATTTTATTTGATGAGGTAACTATTTATTAACTCCATCTGTTTGGTACCATTTTTCTTTTATGTATATTCCGCTTGCATTCCTTGATTTTATGTATTATAATTTTGCAGGATGGAAATCCTAGAATATCTACCTTTGGCCTCATGAAAAATAGTAGGGATGGGAAGAGTTATAGTACAAATCTGGCATTTACTCCTCCTGAATATCTTAGAACTGGTATGTAGCTCCTAGAAAGCAGGCAATGTTTTTTCTCCAAACAAGGCTCATTTAAGTTTATGATTATCTTGACAGCTGCATGGTTTAGCTATTTAAGGTAATAAAGTCATATTCTTGTTTGGTATTTGATAATAACTTGGAATGTCCTTGTTAACAAGCATCCAAAGCAGATGTAAATGGTCTTCCGACCATGGTAGACTAACTAGCCTTAATTATCAAATACATTAACAATTTACTTTCCAGAATAGTTTCTTTTGTTGGAATGGCAGATCTGTCTTCGTGAAAATTTGTCTCATCATCAGATTTATTTTCTCCTGATTTGTAAAAAGGAGTTCAATATGGAAATGTCGGTGCTGAGACAATTACTCTTGATGTGGATGCAGTTCAGCAATTATTGTACACTGAACAGGCATACTCCTTTTGATATATAATGTTTTGGAATTATAGGGTGAGCGCCGTTAAGTCTTTTCACCCAAACTGATCCTTCTCAATATCTTTCTATAAAGTATTGGTTGATCATATTTTTCCTTAAATATCATGTGGTGGTGCTGATTTGGAGTCTCCATGTTTATTTGCAATTGTATTTATGATTTAAGATCTGACTGCTATTGGCATCTCACAATGTACAGTAATTACTCATTGGTTTGCAAGATAAGTCTATGACTTTGCTTCACGTCCCTTGTCATGCAGGGAGAGTAACACCAGAAAGTGTAATATATAGCTTTGGGACTCTTTTGCTTGATCTTCTCAGTGGAAAGCATATTCCCCCTAGCCATGTGAGTAATTTCTTGAGTGGTAAAAGGGAACAAAATAGAGAAAAAAGTGTTAACAGGAAAAGAATATTGTTTCTTGATGTTAAACTTTCTCCCTACACCATAATATTTTTTACTTTCAATTGTTAGGAATTCTGCATCATGATTTCGTCTTCTCAGGTTAAGTGTAAACACTGAAGTAAATTTCTTGACTTGATGACTGATTATTTTGTACCAGGCCCTAGACCTGATTCGGGACAGAAATCTTCAGATGCTGACAGATTCTTGCTTGGAAGGACAGCTTTCTGATGATGCCACTGAGTTGGTACGGTTGGCTTCACGATGTTTACAATCTGAACCCCGAGAGCGACCAAATCCAAAGTCATTAGTTGCTTCTTTGACGCCTCTTCAAAAGGAAACTGAGGTCAGTTTTGTGTTTCTCTTATAAACCATTCGAATTTCAACTAAATCAGGGAGCATCATTTGACCACTTGAAAAGTTGCACAAATAGTTCTAGATCTGCATTTTGTGGCAGTCTTATTTAATGGATATCTTCTTTCCACCGGACTCAATCTGAGCTATTTCTGCAAGCGCAGATCTACCGGATCTTTATTTTTATCGGCAGTGATCGCTTAGACACAGAACCTTTTGACAAGTGGAATATTTGAAAATTTGAGAATGGGACATGACACTCATGTGTTACTAGTTATGCAGGACTTAAGAGAGCTACACTTTTGTTCAGTGTCTTTCATGGTGAGCGATATTCTAGGAAGAAGCTTCGAAAATCTGTATCGCCCCAAAACCGAGGGTCATTTTTATAGGGGTTTTAAGGTATTTTGAGTTTATAATCCCTTAAACTCATAGTTACCAACCTCAAAGTTAGGGAGATGGAGAACCACCTTCTATAAGAATATATCTATTTGAAAGTCTATGCTTACTTCTTTGGTGTGAATTCAAATCACTAATGATCTGAACCATCTTAGTAGTTCAATTAAATATAGAGGCTTAACATAATGCTGGTATCTGTAGTTCCTTTAAATTTATTTTTTCTTACGACTGCAGGTTCCCTCTTTTGTTTTGATGGGTATTCCAAACAGTACCTGCTGCTCTCCTCTTTCGCCACTTGGCGAAGCCTGCTCAAGAAGGGATTTGACTGCTGTACATGAGGTCCTAGAGAATATCGGCTATAAAGATGATGGAATGACAAATGAGGTTCTATCTTTGTTTAAAATGATGGAGAAATATAAAATTGCCTCTACGACTGCATATTTAGCCTTCTAGATAGTCTGCTACTGTATTCATTTTGTGCCTGTGGTTGTCACTGAACTTCTCAGTTGCATATGTTCTGTTGCAACTGTCTGTTGAGTTCTTGCCACTTTTATCTTGTATGCAAAGTACTGTTACTGAAACATTTTCATTTCTCACATTCCACTGCAGCTCTCGTTTCAAATGTGGACTGACCAAATGCAGGAAACATTAGATTCAAAGAAAAAGGGGGATTCTGCTTTTAAGCGGAAGGACTTTAGAACCACAATTGAGTGTTATTCACAGGTTGAGTTCTTATTGTGATATACTCATTCCAGCTATTAGAATTAGTTTCAGAAATAACAAAATGTGCTTGTAACATCTTATCTGCTAAGTCTTATAGGAACGAGTAAAATTGGTAGTTTATAAAGAGTCACAAAATTAGTGGATTTGATTCTAGTAAAGCCTTTGTTGCTACTTTATTTGTATGTGTTATCCAGCTAACAGTTTCTTCCACTTGCAGTTCATTGATGTTGGAACCATGGTTTCTCCAACAATTTTTGCCCGGCGTGGTTTGTCTTATCTCATGAATGACATGCCTCAGGAAGCTCTGAACGATGCAATGCAAGCTCAAGTAATTTCCCCAATATGGCACATTGCATCTTATCTTCAGGCTGCTGCCCTTTCTGCCCTTGGAATGGACAATGAAGCACAAGCTGCACTAAAGGAGGGTACTATGCTTGAAGCGAAAAGGAATGCTGCAGCTGCAAAGAAGTGAAAACCAAGGATCAGGTACTGAATTTGACACTTCTCAGTTTGGTTCTCAGCACATGTAGATGTTGCTCATAAGGTTTCGAATCACGGAAGTCAAAGCTTCACTCAGTTCCATGATATTAAGATTTTGGTCATTTTCCCGCGAGATATGTTGTATTTGAGTTCTTCGATTTGATCTGATTTCTTGTCCGTTAAATGTTTCCAGTATATGAATTACTCTGGAAAAATGGAAACAAAAAAAAATGTTGTAAACAACAGCGGGTGGAAAAAAGCTTGTAATTTGTGTACAAAATACATAAAAGATTCCTGGTGTATTCTTTCTGAAGAAAACAGTGGATGCCATTCTCAGAAAAAAGTTCCAAGTTTGACAGCTGACGGGAGAAAAGAAAAGAAAGAAAATTAGTTGGCTTTCTGTAGTAAATGTTATGATTTAAAATACCCTGCAGAAAATAACATTCATGGCAAACAATTGTTCTTACATAATTGCTTACAAACAAAGACAGTAACAAATAAAGGAGTTGAGCAATATTAATCCACTACTTGAAAACTTCTGCAGATATATAGTTGCTTCCATGGCAACTATGCATTCTTCAAGTCAAGTGAAGCATGGATGTTGTCTCCGAAGATGCTGGAGCTGAAGATACAAGTAAACAAGCACCCTTAAGTTTTGAAAACAGACAGTTAAAGTTAATTACAAAAACCAAATTAAAACAAAAATAGCTAAATTTTATCTACAAAGAAAAAGAAGAGTTGATGTACTTACAGCTTATCTATTAAGCATATCCTTAAGTTGCCGCTTGATCAAGACTACTTGCGTATCTCCATGACCTCTTGAATATCAAAGTGCCACAAACTCCCCAAAATCCCCAAATCCAGCAGCAAACCCAAGCCCCATACTGATGTAAAATCCCAGTGTAATAAGCTCATCCTTATCATCCTCTTGATTGCTCAATTCCGTTTGCACATTTTGATCAGCACACAAATTTTTTAAGTGGAGGTCCACAGAGTTGATTTCCAGCATAAACAGAGGGATCAAAGCCTTGGAGCTGAGTCCCGATTGGAATTTCGCCATATAAGTTGTTAAATGACAAGTCCAAGAAACTAAGACAATCGATCCGCGAAAGGCTTGTTGGAATTCTTCCTTCTATCTGGTTTCTTGACATATCAAGGGCATCCAGTGACTGCAAGTTTCCAATCTCTGGAGTGATTTGACCTGTTAATTGGTTTCCCGACAGGTTTAAAGAAACCAACCCAACAAGATGAGTGATTTCACTTGGAATCTCCCCTGTTAATCTATTTCTTGATAGATCAATTCTCATCACAAGCCCCAAAGTGTTTTTGTATGAGTGCATTCTTCCTTTCCATATGAATGGCATCATCGTCATAAGCATAATAAGTAAATGAATGTTGATCGTCATAAGAAATTTCATACAAATGTCTGCTAGTTAGATTTGAATTTCCTTTCTGAGACAGAGAAGTCAAATTGTTGATGCATGGAGGTAAGCTTCCAGAGATGTTGTTCATAGAGAAATCCAAATTTTGAATTCGTATTAGATGGCATAATTGTGAGGGCAGGCTTCCATTGAAGTGATTAGACGAAAGCAGCAGGATAACCAAATTCTTTAAGCTAATCCCTAACCATTCAGGAATTGGTCCGGATAATTTATTATGCCCAACATCAATGACTACTAAACTTGTGCAATTCTTCAAGGATGAAGGCAATTGTCCCACAAATCTATTGCTTCTTAATTTGAATGTTTCAATCCGAAATACGGAGCCTATTGTTGTAGGAATTTTCCCGGGCAAAGCATTGTAACTCAAATCAAGCATGACTAGATTTTCCAAATGTGTGAAGCAATTTGGATTTTTCTAGAAATATTGTTTCTTGAGAGATCAAGAAAGACTAAACCAATAGCTGCACTTGGAGGTCATAAAATCCCAACTTTAAAATTGACCTTGAAAGTTTATTATAAGAGAGATCCAGATATGAGGCTTTTGATAGAACTGAAATTTGGAGGTCATAAATCCCAACTTTAAATTCTATCAAAATAGTCGTCATTTCAAAAATTTGAGAATAACATACCTTTTTTTTTTTTTGTCGAATTGGAAATAACATACTTAAAAGCTATTTGGTTAATTGAAATTGTAGAGTTTGATGATAAGAAGATTTGTGAAAACTTGTTCCTGAACATGTTCACTGCACAGAAATGGTTTGGTACAATTTTGTACAAACATCTTTATCAAACAAATTCACTTACACCATAGTGGAAAAGTATGGACGTTCACATACAGATGCAACATCAAAGTAGAGCCATATATTTATACAAGATTGGACATGAAAAAGACCACGATTCATCTAACCTTGCTACAAATTTTTTGTTTTTGTTTTTTTTGTTTTTTAGGACCTTTCATGATAGGACCCGCCCCGAATTTTCCGGAACCCGAGACTAACCCTGCGGAGACCCTGGCATCACACCCACGCCGGGTTCACTCCTTAAAACTATGTCCTCGTTTAACAGAGAGGATTAAGGGCACGAGACTTTCTGCCGAAATTTCGGCAGAGTCTCTCCTGTAAATTTAACATTTCCCCAAAATTCACACCTGCATAAAACACATTTTATAACCCAACCGGCAGCACGCACAATATAATCTCATGCAATTTACACAAATGGCCTCCGGCCTTCAAATGATTCTAGCAGAACTGTCCACAATGTTTTTAAAATAACTTAATGCATCAAACATGCATATAACAAATTCAAAATCTAGTTATGCACCCCTTCACTCACTCAATCCACAGGACAAGCCTCAATTCAACCAAGTTTCGGGACCAACAACGAGGTCCGAACCAATCTCAATAAGACCACCTAAGTGGAGTCTAATCTGTGGCTGCACCTAGTAACTTCAGGCTGCCTACGTACCCTACTAAGGGATCAAGCCACACGTAGTTCTTTCATATCAATCCTGGCTCCTAATATCAAATAAACCATTACCGCCATACAATTTCATACATTCCAGGATTTATCCATCACAACACACCAAACACAATCACATAGCTCCCCTCATCCGACGGGACGCACCCGGCCACGTATGGGGTCTGTCAACACGCCGGCTAATCCAAAGACGCGTGCGACCTCAACACTGGGTCTGGCTACATTCTCACCAGCCCGCACA